GAAAGGGAGGAAAATACAGTTTGTTTGGAAGTCAGAAGAAGCCCATGCTTGGAGAAGCACGTGACTGTAAATACTCTGTTTTAATTCATTTATAACTAAGTTTCTGCAAGTAAAGTTTTTGAATGTTAAAGTATTGACATTGGTTTAATTTCCAAAGAAGGGTGTCAGTCACATATACGATTTGAGCTTCTTAGATGAAATTTCACTAACTTCAACAGGGTTCCCATCTCCCAGAGTTTGGCAGGTTTGGGTGTGAAACATCTCTACTGCATCCAAACCCCCTCCAGCGTTGCAGACCAGAAGTTTGGCTTGCTCTGTTCAGAGGCATTCTGGATTATTTATCCCATGAATGCTAAAGTGAGCCACAAGTGCAATCCATAGCGGCAGTCTCCGTTTTCTCTCCTTTGTTTGCCTGCCTGCTGCTCAGCGCAATAAGCTAATGCAGACACTGTGCCGCGCAGGTAAATACTTGATCCCAAGCAGAAATCAAAGGATAACACTGAGTGTTCTGAAATTCAATCATACCATCTAATGGAGGACCCAAGAGTCTAGCATTTCACAAGAGGGATCAGAGTCTGAACTCCACAAAGCCGCCATTTGATATATGCAGCAAGCGACATTGTTGTTTCGCCAGGCACTTATGAATAGGCAACAAAAATGAACACAGGAGGATATCAAAAACTACGGAATAAAAGAAAGGGCAGGAGTGTAAGATGGATTCTCTGTAGCTGCGGCAGAATGCTTCCCTGCAGGGCGAATTTTATCTCATGTTTTGGCTGCGTAAGTAGAGTTCTTGGTAGTACATTTCTATTGAAGCTTCTGGAGCATGAACTGGCTGCACTCCCTTAAGAACCACTGAAACATACTCGGAGTCAGGAGTGGATTTCATGCTCTTTATTCAGCTCATAGTGGTGAGGAGGAATGGAAGTTCCCCCAGAATGTCTGCTTTATATACATTATTTACACAATGGCCCCCGCGTGATTGGCTAATTCCAGGATTCTCCTGTAGGCTCCTGTAGGCTGCGGATTCACTTCCACCTGGAGCTGGATTGGGTGGCTCCTGTGGACCAATCAGACTGCTGCATTCTGGGTCCTATTGTTCTAGGACCAATCAGACTGCTGCATTCTGAATCATATTGTTCTAGGACTAATCAGACTGCTGCCTTCTGAATCCTATTGTTTTAGAACCAATCAGACTGCTCCATTCTGAATCCTATTGTTCTAGGACTAATCAGACTGCTGCATTCTGAATCCTATTGTTCTAGGACCAATCAGACTGCTGCATTTTGGATCCTATTCAACTCAGTACATACCAATCAGACTGCAGCATTTTGGATCCTATTCAACTCAGTACATAACAACCACCCTGCTGGATTAGTCCAAAGGCCCATCTAGTCCTTTGTCCTTTTCTACAGTGTCAACCAGACACTTGGCGGAAGATCGCAAGGAGGCATGAAGGCAACAGATGCCTGAAACTATTGCCAGTTGTCTTAACTCTCCCTGTCAGATGAGGGACTGGAACTCTTGACTCCAGTTTTGCTTTGAATTCCAGATTAGAATGGTACGAAAAGTAAATCACAGGTTGCAAGGATCAGCAGCTGTATATGAGGCACGAGCTAAGATGTTGAAGCAACAAGTGACACCCCCTCTGCCCCCTCCCAGGGATGGACTTTGGTCTATAAAATTTCAGAGGTGCCCGGTGTAGAGATGTAAAATTTCCGGAAATTTTGAAGCCATGAGGGGGAAAATGTTTTTTTTTCTGTTTTTTTCCGGAAAAAATGGAAATTTTGGAAAAATGGAAAAAAAATTAGTGTGGAGTAGTTTTACAAATTGCATGAAACACAGTGTAGATAAAAGTATTATGCTTGCAATAAAACATATAACCAGCCCCTTTCCCTCAAAAGCAACAAAAAAAGCAAGAAACCATCAATGTAAAAAATAATTATTTGCCCCTTAGCACCAACAGCAAATAAAGTTAAGGTCCACTTCAATATTTAAGCTCCATAGAAGGTCTACCCTTTGAGTAGTGCTTTTTAAAAAACCCAAAAAAAACAGAAGACACAGCATATACATGCAGTTTATTCTATCTCATTTTCTGAACTACTGCTATCATTTTCCATTTCTTCTTGCTCTTGCTCTTTGTCATTTTTCTCATGGACTTCTAAAAAACGGCTTTGGGGGGAAAAAGGGGGGAAACCTGTTCCCCCCATTTTTCTGTCCTCCCCGCCCCGGCCTTTCCAAATCTACGTGATGATAGCCGGGGCAAAGCATAAGGCAAATTTTTTTGTATGCCAGGCCCAGAAGTACGGTAACCAACATCCAGTTACTGAAAGGTATGTAATAGTAAGGCTCAAACTCTGTTTGAAAGGAAAAGAATGTGTGTGTTTTTTAATTGAATTTGTTATTATATATTATAAACCACATGATGGTAAGAGAGCTTTCTAAGCAGTTTACAAAAATATACAACAGGATATTAAAATGATTGATAAAAGTCAAAAGCAGGTATTTAAGAGTATTCAATAGATGATTAAAGTCAGCAGTGGTTGAAAGGAAGTCCCGGCTTCAGCAAAAGGAACCGGAAGCCTCTGGAGCACAGCGCAAGGTCCCGCTGCGCTCCAAAGGCTTCAGGTGGCTATCCCTGAGCACCAACCCCTCGCTCTCCAGGCTTCAGCGAAAGCAACGTGTAGCCTCTGTAGCGCGGAGGGAGCTCTCCCTCTGCGCTTTGGAGGCTTTGCGTTGCTTTCGCTGAAGCCAAGGAGCCTGCATTCGCTCCATAGGACGCACAAACATTTCCCCTTCATTTTTGGAGAGGAAATAGTGCGTCCTATAGAACGAGAAATACGGTATTTCATAGAACTGTAGAGTTGGAAGGGACAACAGGAGCCAGTCAAACTCTCTGCAATGCAGGAATCTTTTGCCCAATGTTGGGCTCAAACATACGACCCTGAGATTTAGTCTTATGCTTGACTGACTGAGCTATCCTAGCTATTTGAAGATGGCTATATCATCTCCTCCCAGTCTCCTTTTTACCAGGCTAAACAGACCCAACTCCCTCATCCGTTCCTCCTAAGCTTGGTTTCCAGACCCTTGATCATCTTGGTAGCTCTCCTATGCACACATTCCAGCTTGTCAACATCCTTCTTAACTTAAAAATTGTTTTTTAATTTTTTTAAAAAACCAGAAGCATTTTTACTTGGTATTATAGGCAAGGACATTAATAGGCAAGATGTTAAATTGTTTTTATATGCAACAACTGTGGTAAGAGTATTGTTAGCCCAGAAATGGAAACAAGAAGAAATTCTGATGAAAGAATGGCAGACAAAATTAATGGACTATGCAGAATTGGACAAAATGACAGGAAGGATTCGAAACCTGCGGGACCAGAGATTTACAGAAGATTGGAAGACGTTTATGAATTATTTGAAGAGCAACTGTAATCAACAAATTACACTAGTAGGACTATAATAAGTTTTGTAAGGAGAAATATACGAAGTGTTACAAAGTAGAAAAAGATAGAGATATTGGTTATGAGTTTGAAATGTAATAGGGAAGATAAGAAATGCATACTGAGAGATTAGATAGGAAAATTTTCAGACAGGATTGATGGAAGTCAAAAATTTGAGTAAGATGTAAAAGTATGTTTAATTACTGTTGAAAATGATATGTTTAAAAAAACTAATAAAATATTATATATATAAATATATATATATATCCTTCTTAACTTGTGGCGCCCAGAACTGGACACAGTACTCCAGGTGTGGCCTGATCAAGGCAGATCTGGTTTGAGTATGTCTTACCTCTATGCTATATGAAGAAGTCAGTGAACCTTTCAACTCAATTATGAGTTCAGTGATAAGGAAAAAGAATTTGGAAGTAAAATGGTTGTGTTAGTTCAGAGGTGAGGCACCTGTGGCCTCCAGCTGCTGGTCTGTAATGTTCTTCATCACTAACCGTTGGCTATATTGACTATGGTTAATGCTGGTATACTTACTACATTGCTACAAGCACTTATCTTGTAGTGCCTTTTCCTTCAAAGCCCTCAAAAATAGCACTCATAAAAACGCAAGAACCTGCCAAAACAGGTCAATTGCCCATCATGAATTCTGACCAACACACTTCCCCAGCCAGTTGCCCCTAACTTTTTAGAAACTAAGATTGTAATGTATCATGGCATGGGGTGCTGCCATTCGCTATACTGTGTACATTTCTTGCTCAATATATACACATAACACTCCAGGGTAAAATCTAATTAGTGTCCTTGTATACCTCAGCTAAAAGAATGGGAGGGAATGCATTTTTTTCACTCTCCTTTCCCCCTGCAGCCCATCTCAACCCTTAGGACTCAACAGCCTTTTGGGGAAGGGGAGAAGAAACAACAAGCTGTCAGAGAAGGGGATGATGGGAATTATTATTATTGCCTATCTTCTTCCATTAGTGAAGACCTTTGCTGGCTCTAAAGCCCTTCTGTGAGCACAAGTGCACCAACAGGACTCTACTCATGGCTTTTACCATCACTTCATACCAACTTGCTACTTTTTAATGACTCTAGCAGTTATTATGCTGCCTGCCTCTACCATAAGCCTCTGGAGAGTCAAGGGCAAGAGGTCATGTTCCAAGTTTTGTAGCTAAGTTTAAATTTAAAAAAAGTTTGTGTTTGATTTGTCGTATGGGGAAGGAAAACAGGAGAGGCATACAGAGCCATGGACTTGCTTGTGATGAGGTTATAGAAAGCACCATGCTCATTGCTTTCAAATACAGTGGTACCTTGGGTTAAGAACTTAATTCGTTCTGGAGGTCCGTACTTAACCTGAAACTGTTCTTAACCTGAAGCACCACTTTAGCTAAAGGGGCTTCCCGCTGCTGCTGCACCGCCGGAGCACGATTTCTGTTCTCATCCTGAAGCAAAGTTCTTAACCTGAGGTACTATTTCTGGGTTAGCGGAGTCTAACCTGAGGTACCACTGTATGCTTGAACTTGGAAAGAAAAAGCAGAAAGACACATTGACAGGGGTTGTTTGTTTTTTAATTACATGATCAGGAAACGCTACAGTCACCCTGACTGGACTCATTCAAGCCTGATTGTGCAATTCTATAAATTATAATACAAGAACACGTACATATGTTAAGAACCATCCATGATCAAGGTTCTCTGGCTGACGAGAAGGCTTTTTGAAGTTGTTACAATAGAATGCATGTAAAAATAGAAAGTTTAAAAACCAATCTCATCAGAGAGTCATTTCCATTTGTTTGGTGAAATAAATAAGGCAGCAGAAGCCATTAGTTAGAAGTGGCCTCCTTCAGGTATGCTATTAAATCTGCCCTCTCCCCCTTCTTCTTAATGCCAGCAAATATCATCTTGGTTCCTGGAATATACTTCTTGGGGTTTTCCAAGTAAACCATCAGTGTATCTTCTCCCCAGGTTATACCTAGGAAACAACAACAGTATTTAACAAGATGTTTTCTATATAAAGAATCCAACAACCCTCCCCCCCCCATTTCAATACTTTGGGGTCCAATGTTGAAAACCATGTCATATGGTTCATTTTATATTTAAAACCACCAGCAGATTTGGACGGACAAATTAGGCAATCAGGACATGAACTGGTAACTTTTAAGACCAGTCACTGAGGCATTACTCTTAAAGATGTTGTTACTGGCCCTGAACTGAAAGCACATGATGGGAGTCAACACTTCCTGCTCAACCCTGCTTGTTTGTACAGTCATGATGCTACCTGTAAAATTCCATGCTGTATTAGATAAAAGCCAAGTCACGCATAGGCAGTAAATTGCCGTGCAATGCATGGCAAAAATCTTCCCCTAAGTGGGCATTTGTTAAGATGAGGTCCCGAGTATTTTTCTTTTAGGAACTCTGAAATTGCTCATTCTCATGACATTCAAAACCTAAATGCCTTCCAAGTGTGTGCAACCACTAGGTGGTGTTTCTATGGCTCTTTACTTGGCAAACAATTTTTTGCCAGCTTGTTGTTGTTGTTTAGTCGTTTAGTCGTGTCCGACTCTTCGTGACCCCATGGACCAGAGCACGCCAGGCACTCCTGTCTTCCACTGCCTCCCGCAGTTTGGTCAGGCTCATGTTTGTAGCTTCGAGAACACTATCCAACCATCTCATCCTCTGTCGTCCCCTTCTCCTAGTGCCCTCCATCTTTCCCAACATCAGGGTCTTTTCCAGGGAGTCTTCTCTTCTCATGAGGTGGCCAAAGTATTGGAGCCTCAACTTCACGATCTGTCCTTCCAGTGAGCACTCAGGTCTGATTTCCTTAAGAATAGATGCGTTTGATCTTCTTGCAGTCCATGGGACTCTCAAGAGTCTCCTCCAGCACCATAATTCAAAAGCATCAATTCTTCGGCGATCAGCCTTCTTTATGGTCCAGCTCTCACTTCCATACATCACTACTGGGAAAACCATGGCTTTAACTATACGGACCTTTGTTGGTAAGGTGATGTCTCTACTTTTTAAGATGTTGTCTAGATTTGCCATCGCCTTTCTCCCAAGGAGCAGGCATCTTTTAATTTCGTGACTGCTGTCACCATCTGCAGTGATCATGGAGCCCAAGAAAATAAAATCTCTCACTGCCTCCATTTCTTCCCCTTCTATTTGCCAGGAGGTGATGGGACCAGTGGCCATGATCTTCGTTTTTTTGATGTTGAGCTTCAGACCATATTTTGCGCTCTCCTCTTTCACCCTCATTAAAAGGTTCTTTAATTCCTCCTCACTTTCTGCCATCAAGGTTGTGTCATCTGCATATCTGAGGTTGTTGATATTTCTTCCGGCAATCTTAATTCCGGCTTGGGATTCATCCAGCCCAGCCTTTCGCATGATGAATTCTGCATATAAGTTAAATAAGCAGGGGGACAATATACAGCCTTGTCGTACTCCTTTCCCAATTTTGAACCAATCAGTTGTTCCATATCCAGTTCTAACTGTAGCTTCTTGTCCCACATAGAGATTTCTCAGGAGACAGATGAGGTGATCAGGCACTCCCATTTCTTTAAGAACTTGCCATAGTTTGCTGTGGTCGACACAGTCAAAGGCTTTTGCATAGTCAATGAAGCAGAAGTAGATGTCTTTCTGGAACTCTCTAGCTTTCTCCATAATCCAGTGCATGTTTGCATTTTTGCCAGCTAACCTGCACCAATATGTATGGAGCTGGGAGCTGCAAGAGACACTAATCTAGTGTGGGCTGTCTCGTGATTAAATGGCAGCTCAAAGCTGCTGCAAAGAGGAAGTTAGGAGGCTGACTCCAGAGAGAACAGAAATTAAATGGCAAGTTAATTCTTGGAAGCAGACAGGAGTGGCAACATCATGTACGTGGACTCCTGCCACACCACTGCTGGGAGAAGGTCAGTGCTCTGTGGATGCACCAGTGGAGCCAACCCAGCACTCCCACTGGTGCCATGCACACAGAGCCGACCTTCCTCCTCTGCATCCTGATAAGCTGCAGTCGACTCCCTAGCCACCTTTCCTTGATTACCTAAAAGCAGGTCACATAACAGGCAATGAAGGGGGACTGGTTGAGTTTTGGAAAGATGCAGAGCACATTCCAGAATGCCCTGGTCATGGGAGTGAGCATGCATTCTATGTTACAACTATGTCCTCCCTATTGACTGCTACTAGTTTTCTTGCAATCTGATTTGCAAAGCTAATAGGACACTTCCATTTTACCTTTGCTTTTGTTGGCGTCTGTGTAAGAGAAACCTTCGGCCTGACCAGTCTTTCGGCCAAAAAGACCATGAAGGTTAGGGCCAGTCTTGTGCTTGCCTCCCTTCTCAACTGTGTGGCACTGCGAACACTTCTGAACAAAGATCTTCTTGCCCTTCTCAACGTCTCCCATGGTCACTGCTGAAGAAAAACAAGAACATCATACAATCTTAAACATTTCAAGGTCAGTTGGGCTCATCTGAAGTGAATGAGAAACGCAGTAAGAATGCAAAGATCCAGGTACTTCTAAAAGCGGCCATAAAGAAAACAAAAAAACCAAGCACCAAACAATGCATTTTTAAAGCCAGTGACCAGGACTAGTAGATCAACTTTCAAAAGCGATTAGATTTTACTAATGTTACATGTTAAAATGAAACATTAAAGAAAATGGTCTGTCCCTGGGGTCCAAAACTATCTCAGGAAATTTGTTTGGAGCATTTGTTCTAGAGTAAGATAGCATAAGTGAATATCAAAGAGCTTGTCTGCATAAAACAAGGTATCATATTCAATTCTGTCTGATTCATAGTAATCTATATTCCTGTAGTGTCATCATACCCAGGATACAATCAGGGCAAGCTAAGTTGTTCGTAACACTGTTATTGTGCAACGCTACAATCCTATGTACTTTACTTGGGAGGTTCTTGCTTCCAAATCAACATGCACATAACTGAAATTATTAAGCAAGAGGTGTTCCAACATTACAGTGCCTCTCACACTGACCTCTGTAACACGGACAAGTTTTTAAAAAATAAAAATATTGCAGAGCTGCAGCCATTTTCCTGGTGTCACTGTCCTAACCAGTTTTTGAGACTACCCCCAAACTGAGAGGGAAGATGAGAAATAACCCTTCACATGACCCTTATTTCCTCAACAGGACCCATTGCTGCCAAAGCCCTTGGTTCAGCACGCTTTCTCGAGTCTCCCGTTTCACAGACTTAAGGGAGCATCCACAAGATCACACTGAACAGCAGGGACAAGCAGTTTCTCTTTGCCAGCCACCCTCACAGATATGGAGTTGGTAAACAAAAGGATAGAATTAAAATACATATATCATATGTATGTAAATGTATATATGTATTTAAAATTTATTCTTTTAAATGCCAACCCCGTATCTGTGAGTGGCTGGCAAACAGAGAATGCTAATCCCTGCTGTTCGGTGTGATCATGTGGACGCCCTATATATATATATAGGGACCAAGTTCCCCCTGTGCCTTTAGCCATGCTTGGTTTTCGGCGGGAAGCTCCAGGCCGCGCGAAAAGCTTTGCTTAGGGCGGGATGAAGGGCACGAGTTCACGCGGGGGGTCAAACCGGCGCGCAGCAATGTTCTTTTCTCGGGCGGCCTTTTATTGGGGTCAACGACCTGTGCCTTCCTTTTCGGCTTTATGTGGAACTTCACAAGGTCGAAAGATGCCCAGAAACAGCAGCAGCAACCTCTTCCTTATCTCGCACAAGGGCGCATGCTCGAAACCTGATAAAATCGCCGCCGCCGAAGCCTATGAGTCAGCGCTGCGGGGCCTCTGGGGACGCCGCGTCCCTCCGGCAGGAGACACCGGCGTCTCCACCGCCCGTGGAAGGGAAGGGCCGCTGCGGGGGCTGTATCTACAGTCCCTTCCAAGGGCGATGACCGGGGGGGGCATGAAGGGCCGCGATTCCAGGCCGGGCTCCTGCTCCCGGCCACGTGGAGGTGGCCCGGCCTCTCTCCCAGGCCTCTCCCCCGGGCTCACCTGCCTGACCTTGGCCTTCCGCACAGCCCGCTCCCGCCTCGACCCGCTTCTCCTCCCTGCTCGGCCTACAGCGCAGGCTTCTGCTTCTCCCCTAACCCCGCTGCTCCGGTTCGGGGTACGGGGTGCCCCCCCTCCATTCCTCACACGAGAGGCTCCCGCTCCCCCATTCATTACCACGCGAATTAGAGGAAGGGATGCAAAGCCGCCGCCGCCGCGCGTTCTCCCGTCAAGAGTTCCGCAGACTGAGCCCAAGGGCACCCCGTACTCAGCGCTATGTAACCGGTGTCTCCGCAACCAAGCTTCCCTCCGGGGGCTTGCCGCCGTCTCTCTCAATCGGCCAATCGGACGCCGGCTCGGAGAAGCTCTATTGGGCCAGCCGGACGCCTGTCAGCGTGACTAATCTCAGCAGGTTAGGTTGAGCCCGAGGGGATCTCGGGTGAGCCGGCTTTGGCGTTGCGCAAAGGCAGGGACGTAGGGAGATGACGACAGCGGCGCGTGCGCAGAAGAGGGATAGCGGCAAGGTCAAGCACGCTTGAGGATGCTGGCTTCAAAAAAAAAAAAAAAAAAAAAAAGGTCATGTGATTGGATGCTCCTCCCTGCAGAAAGTGACGCGCGTGGGAATCCCGCCCAGTGTGTGATTGGGCGAGGATGTTGCAGTTCCTCTTCGTACAATGAAGGGGGATGCCCCATTCAGGTAATGATGGTGTAGTCACAAAGTTACAGGTAAATGATGCAATTAGGGAGCAAGACAAGTTGGAACGACTCTATTAACCTTCGCACCCAGAGCAAAGTATTAAATTGTATAGTCTGAGGATTATTATGCCACAATATTTTTTTTAAAGGACTAAAGGTTGTTTTCTCACCTGAATCTATCTGAGTAAATATTCAAACACAGAATAAGAAAGAGGTGGGATAAAAACAGTTTAGCATACAGCCATATATTTTTTCTGGGAGCAAGCTGCGTTGAAATCAATGTGATTTGCTTCTGAGAAAACATGTTTTCAGCTTTTGGAATGAAATGCATATTCTAGCTAGTGTAGATTTTACATTAGGGATATCATATAATAATTTTGTTTTTGAAGAAGCCTTTTAGTGCCCTCTGTGACAGTGCTGGATTGTGTCGATATGACGTTGCAAAATTTAGTGCCACAATTGTATATGCCCCAGAACACCTCTCTTCCTGCCTTTGAATTCCCACTCAAAGCTCACCTTTTATGGGATATCTTGTGCAACCTCCCAAGGTCCTATGTCTTACAACAAGGATTGCCAACATGGCGCCCTTCGGATGCTGCTGGACTACAACTGCCGTCAGTTGCAGCCAGCATGGCCTGTGGTCAGAGATGATGGGAGCCGCAGTCCAACAAGCCGTAGTCCATCTAGTGCAAACTGCAATGACCCTTACTCCAGGCTCAGTTACAGTGAGGCAGGGATAGCCTAACTAGATGTTATGTCAATCACATGGATAGTGTCCATATTAAGGGACTGTCAAAAAATTAATATTAGGCATGGTGGGTAAGAGGATTTTTAAAAAATAATGCCACATTGCATGGGAAGAGCAGCTTTAACTCTTTCGTATGATGTGATACTACACTTGATCTTAGCCAAAAGGCCGAGAAGCCAAAAGGACGCAGGTGGCGCTGTGGCTAAAACCTCAGTGCCTAGGACTTGCTGATCGCATGGTCGGCGGTTCGAATCCCGCAGCGGGGTGAGCTCCCGTCGTTCGGTCCCAGCGCCTGCCAACCTAGCAGTTCGAAAGCACCTCCGGGTGCAAGTAGATAAATAGGGACCGCTTACCAGCGGGAAGGTAAACGGCGTTCCGTGTGCTGCGCTGGCTTGCCAGATGCAGCTTGACCCGGAAGTGTCTGCGGACAGCGCTGGCTCCCGGCCTATAGAGTGAGATGAGCGCACAACCCTAGAGTCTGTCAAGACTGGCCTGTACGGGCAGGGGTACCTTTACCTTTTTATGATGTGATAGGATCCTCTCTAGAAAACCACCCACCACCATCATAGTACAGGCATGGGTGCTTTTTGCTAATTCAAATTGCTGAGGTTTTGGTCAGGCAAGCGAAGGGTTAAGTCTCCCCTCCCTGTGCGTTGCAGCCCCAATAACAATTGCACACACCCCACCTAGCATTATATTGATTTTAAATCCCATGATGTGGTTGCTAGCCATATAATTAGCTGGAAAATGCTGTTGGGTGGTTAAAGGTCACTGATGTGGATTTACTGAGTATTCTCAGTAAATGCAAATACACGTTGCATTCTGTGTATTTTACGTCCACCATAATAAATGAACTGAAAGTTCCGCTTCATTGCGGTTAGAGTACTTCTACAACTATGCAGGCAAAGGTTGTTGGCTCCTCCCTTTTATGAAGCTCTTAAAAGCACATGATCTCCATATAGTTTGACAGGTGAGTAGCAAATTGACTCTTCCACTATATTTTAAATTAATCTCAAGAGTTGAAAATATTTTTTCTCTCTGGGGGATTTGTGCATATAGATGAGGAGTAGGGAATACTTTTCTGTTGCGGGTCTGCACTTATTCTGGGGTGATCTATTAGGGGATGTGTTCCATAAGTAGGCAGGACAAGAGCCAAAAGTGGGTGGGGTCACCCCCCTCTCTTTTGCCCTCCCGCTGCCTTCCTGCCCAGTGAGCTGTTAAAGACAGGTTTGGTCTTGCCACAAACATATCCTAATTGCTTCCAGAGTGCTTCCCCCTCATTCCACTTTCCATCATTTGATTACCGTATTTTTTGCTCTATAAGACTCACTTTTTCCCTCCTAAAAAGTAAGGGGAAATGTGTGTGCGTCTTATGGAGTGAATGCAGGCTGCGCAGCTATCCCAGAAGCCAGAACAGCAAGAGGGATCGCTGCTTTCGCTGCGCAGCAATCCCTCTTGCTATTCTGGCTTCTGGGATTCAGAATTTTTTTTTCCCCCCTCAAAAAACTAGGTGCATCTTATAGAGCAAAAAATACGGTAATTTTTCCTTCCCACATTTTAAATCCTTCCCTCTCCCCTCTCCCTCAGTGCACTCAACACGTGTAAGAAATTAGGCCCTTCTGCTCTCTCACATGCAGTTGAATACACGAAAGAGATCCTTGCATATGCAATACTGCATAAAGGAAAGACCCCGCTTTCACATTCAGTAGAACACACACATGTCAGGGGCATAGAAAGAGAGGTGTGCTGATGACAGCCAGTGTGGCGTAGTGGTCAGAGCATCAGACTAGAACCTGGGAGACCAAGGTTCAAATCCCCACCCGATCATGAAGCTCACTGGGTGACCCTGGGTCAGTCACTGTCTCTCATCCTAACCTATCTCACAGGGTTGCTGTTGGGATTAAAAGAGGAGGGGGTAGAACTTGAGTTCCTTGAAGAAAAAATGCAAATTAGCAACTACAGTGGTACCTTGGTTCTCAAATGCCTCGATTCCCAAACGCCAAAAACCCAGAAGTAAGTGTTCCGGTTTTCGAATGTTTTTCGGAAGCCAAATGTCCGATGCGGTTGTCAGCTATTGTTTCCGGGGCGCCTGCACCAATCAGAAGCTGTGCCTTGGTTTTCGAACGTTTTGTAAGTCAAACGGACTTCCTGAACGGATTAAGTTTGGCACTTTTGTTTTTGCTATTAATTTTGCATTTTCGATTTTGAGGCTTTTTCAGTTAATTTGTTTTTGTTACTGTGTGGATTGATTGATTGTGTGACTGCAGAAATGGATAAAAGCCCACCATCCAAACAATGACTATAAGCAGTGCAGGTAAGAATTTTGTTTAATTTTAATTGTTATCATCTGCAATGCTGTCGTATTTATTTTATAGTACAGTACATTGATTATTTAGGGACGCGGGTGGCGCTGTGGGTAAAAGCCTCAGCGCCTAGGGCTTGCCGATCGAAAGGTCGGCGGTTCGAATCCCCGCGGCGGGGTGCGCTTCCGTTGTTCGGTCCCAGCGCCTGCCAACCTAGCAGTTCGAAAGCACCCCCGGGTGCAAGTAGATAAATAGGGACCGCTTACTAGCGGGAAGGTAAACGACGTTTTCGTGTGCGGCTCTGGCTCACCAGAGCAGCGATGTCACGCTGGCCACGTGACCCGGAAGTGTCTGCGGACAGCGCTGGCCCCCGGCCTCTTGAGTGAGATGGGCGCACAACCCTAGAGTCTGTCAAGACTGGCCCGTACGGGCAGGGGTACCTTTACCTTTTCCTTTACATTGATTATTGCTTTCATTTTATGGATCAGTGGTCTCATTAGACAGTAAAATTCATGTTAAATTGCTGTTTTAGGGGTTGTTTTCAGAAGTCTGCAACGGATCAATCCATTTTGCATTACTTTCTATGGGAAAGCGTGCCTGGGTTTTGGAATGCTTTGGTTTTGGAAAGGACTTCCGGAACGGATTAAATTTGAGAACCAAGGTACCACTGTACCTCATAATATTAGAGGCATGGCTAGCAGGTGTGGCCCTAGGTGCGAAGAGGCTTTATGACTTGTTCTCATTTGATTCCTCCCGATTCCCTTCAGAGCTGCCTCGACCTGCCTTTGGACGACACTGAATCAGTACTTCATGCAAAAAACTGAAAAACTAGGAGAGTGTTTTATAAAGCACAGCAAGCCAATTCAGAAGCAGCAACTGGAAAAATTGGCTGAGAATATTTTCGCCCCTCCCTTTCCCTTTTTTTGAAAGGGTGAGGACGTGTGTCAGTTATAGTGATAGGCATTCACGCCGTAGAATTTGTGCCTTCTGCCTTTCCTGTCGTGATCCCTCAGGTCCCTTATTCCTCCTCTAGTTAGATCACTCAGGCGTTTGATGGCTTCACCCTTCCTAAAACAATACTGCATATCGTTTAATTTTGTTTGAGGCCGAGCTATCCCGCAGTTAGGAATCCATTCTGGGAAAGTGGACCTGCTTTCGATCCCTGGGAACATATTAGGAACACATTGAACACCTGGGATGTCGTCACATGTTTCAAAGCTCACCTCTGTTGGGCCTGGTTTAGAGAGGCTGATGGGATGGTGCCACACGATGTAATTGCTTAAGCGGGAGGGGGGCAGATCTTCGTAGCGAATGGATTCAGCGGGTTTCACAACAATCTCTGGTTCGGGGGGAACAGCAAGCTGTCTTTGATACAACTTCTCCGTCTTCCAAGTATCTGTAATTTTCTGAAACCTGCTCCACGGAAGTTTCGTATGTTTCATGCTTTCTCTCGGGTTACCTACCGGGCGATCGATCTGATTTTGTTGGAAGTCCTCAATTCTCTTTTTTGCTCCGCTGTCCGTTTCCGGAGGCATTTGCCTACTGCTGCTCTGCACCGCATCTAAACATTTGCGTATGAGTGACTCGCCTGTCCATTGAGGTGGGTGCTCACAAATATAGCCAGGATCCTGCTGCTGAGGGTCATAGGGGCGAATAGGTTTGCCTTGAAGTGCGCGAGCAATACGTCCTTCTAAGGGTCTTACTTGAGTCTCAGCTGACGGAAATGATTCTCTCTGAAAAACAGATAGTTTGGGATTGATGTTCTCTAAAGACAACTCTCAGAGCAGCAATGGGGAACTTTTGGCTCTCCAGATGCAGTTAGATTCCCAACTCCCATCAGCCCCAGTCAGCATGGCCAATGGTCAGGGGTGATGGGAGTTGTAGTCCAGCAGTATCTGCCATGCCAGAAATACCCCAAACGAGATACTGTATATCATTTGCTTGATGATTTAATATTTAAATAAATTGTCCTTTGTGCAAGCAAATTCCAGGGCAGTGTATGAAAATATCAGCAACAAGAGAATACAGTGGTACCTCGGCTTAAGTACTTAATTCGTTCCGGAGGTCTGTTCTTAACCTGAAACTGTTCTTAACCTGAAGCACCACTTTAGCTAATGGGGCCTCCTGCTGCCACCACGCCACCTAACAAAGAGGAAAATCTTAACCTGGTGCTGAAAAGATTGCAACTTCAGTGTCAATGCAAGATTAAAAGTTGCTGTAGGCATTGCAAGGTGACGGCTATGTTCAGGGTATTACCCTTTTTTTACCATTTATTTCCATTATTATTAGTAATAACAGTTTATTTGTTCCACTCCATTAAAGAAAAGCTTTAATGAAGACATTTCATCACCACGGATCAATAAAGCGTGTCTCATCACAAACAAAGCTAATGCATAGGAAAAGTGTGCCTTGCGACAATAAGGTTGCAGTGTGGAGTGTTGCTGTTCAGAATTCCAGCCTCTCCATTCTCCTTCCCACCTGGTTTTCTAGGACAGTCAGCTGGCTGTTCTATGAAACTGAGCATGCTCAGTCCTCACTGGGCTGCTTTGTGGTTTCCCCCTTCCCTTAGAGACACGTTTGTTTGTTTGTGCATTTCTGCCCACCCCCCAGCTTGCTGATATCTCCCTCTTGGGTGCCGTGGGTGGGTGCTGCCCTTCAGTCTACATCATCAATGGCATCACAGCCTGAACATCAGAAATGGAAGGGAGCGATCAGCTTGAAAGGTCCTAGTTGCCATACTTACGAGTTCAACGTCCATGCCCAGTTCTCCAGTTGCTCTGCCAATCATCTTAGGATCATGGTCATCCAGCAGCAAGGGGTTCATAGAACCTTTACCTTAAGCAAACCAATGTTGACATCAGTTTAGGAAGCTAATATGTAATATGTGGTATTTTTCTTTGAAAAATAGCAATAATATTGTTATGTGTTACCCCAGTCTCCAAGCTGTTAGAGATTCCAGGGGTACCTGTGCTTAACCCAGGATTTGGTTTCCTTGGAATGAAAGCCAATGGAGATGGTGCTATCTCCAGGATAAATGGTTTTATTTACACATATATAGATCCCAAGCATAGGTTGGAGCGGCTCACAGCAACAACACCCCCCCCCCCCGTAGTTTTTGCTTCCCCTTTAAGCTTCCAGGGGAGACACAAAGTCATGTCTCTGTGTCTGCAGCTTCAACATTCGGCTCACACCTCACAGATATACCAATTCTGGGCATTCTTCTTCTACCTAGGATCATGTGGCCTTTAGTCAGGTGAAGGGAGTGAGGAAGATCCCTATGGCCCCCTTTCCTGGAGAGTAGCATCACTTAGCTCGTTCTTTGAGATGCTCACAAAGGCTTCACTCAAGCCATTACCATTATAAGTTTGACCCATTCTGCAGGTTCCCTCGTATACATTCCAGCCTTACAGGTCCAGGTCCCAAGAATTGGGAGCCCAGGTATCATCAAGACTGTCCCCCCCAAAAAAAAACCTCCCCTCATCATAATATTTTGGAAGATGCAGAGCAAATCTCAAGATGATTTATCTGTAGGTATTTTGTGTTCCAGCATTAATCTCTCATGCCTAATAAGTGTGTACCTGTGTAGTCACGCTTGTAAGTCGAAAACCAGAGGGCCTTTTTGATATTTTCCAGCATGTTGGCAGCTCTGAATGAAATGTCAAGCTCCGGGGGTTTGGAAGTCTTTTTGCGGCCCCCCTTTGGGGAAGCATTTGGGTCGCCTGCCTCACCATTTTCATCGCCATTCTGAGAATAAACGTAGAACAGGCATAGTTAAAGTCTTCTGCTTGAACCGTGCAAGTGTTTGCTGAGAGGGTAGGAAGGCCACAACTTTCAAAACCGAAGCTGTCAAGTTTTAAAATGTGGTTTTAGAAATCTGTCTAATTGGGAGCAAATGAATGAGGATGGTAAAAGCTTGGATGCACTTTCCACACTTCCACATAAGAGTCTAGGGCAGGGATGGGGAGCTGTGTTCAGCTTGAGGGCCACACTCCCTTTTGAGCAACCTTCTGGAGGCCATGGGCCAGTGGAGGTCAGGACCAGAGGCAAAAGAGGATGGAGCCATTAATATGAATGCTACCTTACTACGGTGGGATATTTTCTACACACATTCTGCCACCCTCCCTCCTCCATTCAAAGAAGGCATTGCCTCTGCCATGGGCGTGCCTACTTTGTATGATTTAAAAAAAATATCATTTCCTGTCATTGTTCTGTTTTAAACTTTTTCTAAAAGGTCGTTTTTATTTTGTGCATCATCTCGAGACATATATGTGGAAGGCAGTTAAGAAATAACAGCAACAATAATATTATAGTCCATGAAGCTGGTTGGCAAAAGCTGGTCTACTCTGCCAGAGCTGTCTCCAAGACCTCTTTGTTACTTGAGGTTGTAAAATTTTATTTTTAAAGATGGAGGTAACCAGGAATTGAACCTGTTTCTTTTTGATTGCTGAGCTGTAACCCTCCCTCTAATGTCAAAATTCCCAACCATAGTCGCGATTACCTACAGGAAAGTATCCAAGGAGTCTGTCTAAAGGTTCGCCGGCTCTTTCGTCTTTTTCGGGGCCACCTTTAAAATTCAGGAGGAAATACTTGGTTGCATAATATGAAATTCAGGCAGCTGAGGTTAGAAGAAGAATCTGACTTGGAAGGGGGCAGCTACTTTGCTATAGTCAAGAAATGCTTCCTCATCCACCGCAAATCAGAGATCTACCAGGAGGTCTTGACCTGTGTCCCGGTTGGGCAGAAGGGAGAAGACTACCATCTTTCGCAGAGCACTTTTAACAATGTTTGTGGAAGAGGAGCAAAATTGGCTGAGTACACACCATACAGTAAAAGCACAATCTTGGGCACAGTAATTTGTTAAGGGTGCTCTCTGAAGGGTCAACCAAAGTTCCCAGGTTTCTTTCCGGGTTGGTGGTAGTGGTGTGTGTTTTAAATGTATGGCACACACTCCTGGTGTACAGTCATGATGATTTTGCTGCCAGCGTCTGAATGCAAAGAAGGAACACAGCTGAAGAATTCCTCAGAGAAGGCCATAATTCTTAACCTGATAAGCTTTGCTTGGAATAGAACTTGTCCTCTGATGGTCCCTTGCAAAACAAAAATAGAACCGCACATCTTTCCATCTTTGTAATGCTTAGGGCCAGTCTAGAATGAAGTACTGGCAGACGGGAGAAAGTTTAGAAGGAGGAATGCTAATCACACTATTGTACAATAATGTCTTACAAGCCTCCTTTGTTTACTAGGCAAAGACCCCACAATGTGCTTCAGCATTCTTATTCAGCGTTGTGGTGATGGGTGGTTGGAGATAACAGCTCCTTAACTCAACTTGACCTGTTGCTTAATGCCATTACTTCCCAATGATTAAAGCTTCTTAACATTGTATGCATTTAAACTGGACAAATGTTCTGTGACTGCAGTAGTCTCATGAGGTTTTCCTCTTGCATTACTTCCCTATGCCTGTAATCTGTTTTGTGTTATTGCCAACACGTTTATAGAAGTGTGAATGCGCAGTATGGTCATTTATTCATTCATTTATTTAAAAGATGTTATGCTACTTTTTCAACGCATTCAGAGCAATTTTGGGGGAAAGAGAAAAATTAAAACTGGAATAATAAAATAAAAATAAACACACATATACATTGTGGTGTGCTCTCCCCAGGGAGGTTCATCCAGCACCTTCATTATAAGGTAAAAGGTAAAGGACCCCTGGACGGTTAAGTCCAGTCAAAGGTGACTATGGGGTACAGCACTCATCTCGCTTCAGGCCGAGGGAGCTGGTGTTTGTCCACAGACAGCTTTCAGGGTCATGTGACCAGCATGACTAAACTGCTTCTGGCACAACAGAACACCATGACAGAAACCAGAGTGCACGGAAATGCTATTTACCTTTCCATCACAGCGGTACCTATTTATCTACTTGCACTGGCATGCTTTCGAACTGCTAGGTTGGCAGGAGCTGGGACAGAGCAAGGGGAGCTCACCCCGTTCATAGGCGCCGACTCCATGGGGCTTGAGGGGGCTGGAGCCCCCTCAAAAAATTTTTGGGGGGGGCTCAGCCCCCCCAATAATCTCGGGCGGGCGCCCTTCCAGCAGAGCGCCGCCGCCGTCCCCGCCTCCTCCCCACCTGCTCCTTCGCCAGCCAGCCAGCCGCGCGCCCTAATCGGAGAGCCCCGGCCGGAAATCCCGCGAGAACAGGGGAATCCCGACTGGCCACACCTCCCAGCCAGCCAATCGGCTGGCTGGGGGGCGTGGCTTGCCCTATTTAGGGCCGGAGCCACTTTATTTGCATATTCATGAGCTTATTTATTATTCATGAGCTTTCCCGGGCCCCCCCAATATTTTTTCTAAGTCCGCGTCCCTGACCCCGTTGCAGGGATTTGAACTGCCGACCTTCTGATTGGCAAGCCCAAGAGGCTCAGTGGCTTAGACCACAGGGCCACCTGCATCCCCCTACCTTCATTATACATCTTTAGGCACCAGGCGCAAGCATTCTTCTTCAACCAGCCCTTGGCTGATTAATATTCTACAACCTTTTAAATGTGTTTGCAGAAGGAGGGGTTATTGTTTTGTTGTTTTTGTTTTAACTATTTATTTGTGGTTTTGCTTTATATTTTATCTTGTTAACCATCCTGAGATCTTGGGATGATGGGCATTATATAAATTTAACAAACAAACAAACGTGTGTGTATTAGCCAGTTGAAAGCATCCTAAGGTGCAAACCCCAATAGACAGATAAAGAAGGGATGGCTTGTCTGAAAAATCAGGCTGAGAAGAACAATCCCTCAGTTTTAGAAGATATTGGGGCCACAGCTGTAGAGCCCTTGCTTTCAGTGGCATATATTTGTATTGCATGGACAGATGTATAAAGTAACAAAAGCAGAAGTGGTCGGATGAAGGAGGCTTGATAATGTCACTATATTACAATCTAATCTCCAGGATCTCCCTCCCCCTTTCCTTGGAACAGGAGAAACCCTGCTGCAGGCCTCAGTTAAAAGCCCCACCAGGAACTCTGTGGAACCCTGCCAATAAACCCATTATGTTATGAGCACCTGTACAGAGCTTGAATTCAAAAGTCAAGGTTCAGCCATCAGGACTGAGTCTGTGGCTTAGTCTCCTGTGACTCAGTAGATTTTAGTCGGATGGTTTTTTCACCAGCAGATTTCTTCTATTGATTCCAAAACAGTTTTGAGCCTTACATGGATCTCAGAGTCAGAGGATGTTTAGCATTTGGACAGAAGTGTGCAGATGAGGAGGAGATGGACAAGCCCTGAATACAGAGATGGTCAATGTTTCCTCCACATACCAGGTATGTCATACCTGCCTTTTGGGAAAGGTAGCATAACAAATAATAGAATCACAGAATGGTAGAGTTGGAAGAGATCCCAAGGGACATCTAGTCCAGGGGCCAGCAAACTTTTTCAGCAGGGGGTCGGTCCACTGTCCCTCACACCTTATGGGGGCCGGACTATATTTTGAAATATATATATGAATGAATTCCTGTGCACATTGGGAAGAATGGGGCGGGGAAATGGCAGGCGTAACTCTTCACGGCAGGTTCTCGGGCTGGATTTAGGACCCAGGCGGGCCTGATCCGGCTCGGGGGCCGTAGTTTGCCAAACCCCTGATCTAGTCCAACCTTCTGCACTGCAGGAATCTTAACTAGATCATACATGACTGGTGGCCATCCAACCTTTGCTTAAAAACTTCCAAGGAAGGAGAGTCCGCTACCTCTTGTTAGGAGTCTGTTTCTCTGCTGAACAGCTCTTGCTGTCAAAAAGTTCTTCCTGAAGTTTAGTCAGAATCTTCTTTCTTGTAATTTGAAGCCATTGGTTTGACTCCTACCCTCCAATTATATGGAAATATTGCTGCTCCCCCTCTTCCCCCAAGATAATGCACAGAACTGCCTTAAAGAAGTTTGAATGAAGAGTTTGGATTAGATATCCCGTTTTATCACTACCCTAAGGAGTCTCAAAGCGGCTAACAATCTCCTTTCCCTTCCTCCCCCACAAGAAACACTCTGTGAGGTGAGTGGGGCTGAGAGACTTCAGAGAAGTGTGACTAGCCCAAGGTCACCCAGCAGCTGCATGTGGAGGAGCAGGGAATCAAACCCGGCTCACCAGATTATGAGTCCACCGCTCTTAACCACTAATCCACACTTCTAAATCAATCAAATCAATCAAAATGTTTATTCGGCTTTACGCCCATCATGAAACACAACACAACACAACAAAACAATTCAAACAAATCAAATCAAATAAAACAGCGGACTCGTACAAGCCACAAGTAGTATAACACAGTTCTCAACTCAGAAGGACAGATATTAGCCATTCATAAGAAAAGTTTAAGATTAAAAAAATAAAATAAAATTAGGCACTACACTAAAATCAATATCTCATGTAATTATAGAAAATTCTTATAACTATCAATAATCAGCTAACATTCAATTCCGTCTCTTGTACGAGAGGGCCTTCTAAATAGAGAGGTCTGCTATCTTATACAGTTGAGAATATGATCTTCAACAGGCGTGGGGAACATTTAGTGTTCCAGATGCTAAACTACAGCTCCCATCATCCCTTAGCCATTGGCTAAGATTGCTAGGGCAGGTGGGAATTGTCGTTCAGCATCATCTGGAGGGCCGCTGGTTGCACACTTCTTCTTTACAGCTATCCTAAGAGCAGGTTTTTAAATTAAGTTTCTCTAGCTGATAATAATAATAATAATAATAATAATAATAATAATAATAATAATTTTTATTTATACCCCACCCTCCCCAGCCAAGGCCGGGCTCAGGGCGGCTAACAAGCAATAATAAAAACAAGTTGAATGAATACAACTTAAAAACAAGATTAAAATACAATGTTAAAATATTGAAACATTAAAATATTAAAATGCAGCCTCATCACAGGAGGAGAAAGGAAAAAGAAAAAAGAAAGAAGGGGAGGGAATCAAATTGGCTCCAAGCCAAAGGCCAGGCGGAACAACTCTGTCTTACAGGTCCTGCAGAAAGAAATCAGATCCTGCAGGGCCCTGGTCTCATGAGACAGAGTGTTCCACCAGGCTGGAGCCAGTGTTGAAAAGGCCCTGGCTCTGGTTGAAGCTAATCTAACTTCCTTAGGGCCCAGGACCACTAGGGTGTTGTTATTTATGGACCTTGAGGCTCTCCGTGGGGCATATCAGGAGAGGCGGTCCCGTAGGTACGACATGAGAAAAAGACATGAGAAGACTTAAACCAAAACCGCACACAGGCACAAATGAATAATGCTTTACCTGTGATGTCGATGTTATTGTGGACGTAAGGATGAAGTGGCCGGTGACGGCCGGCCACAAGATGGGTCTCTGGATTGGCTGGCGACTTGTGCCTTAGATACTTCTCATATCTATTAAATACAGCAGAAAGTTTTTGACAGGGACAAAGAACATTGTGTGGTCATGATGGGCTTCGGTTGCTTGGAATGGATTTCAGATGAAGAAATACAATCCCTTAATTTTGCTCCATACTTCTACCTTGACTTCTCTACAAGCTGTTCCATACCTGCCGACAGGAATGCCCTGGGTTCAGTCGAGGGATTCAGCTGTTAAACTACAGGCTACAGCAACACATTTCACCCAGATTTTACTAACAGTATTATAAAAAGAAAGAAAGAAGTCCTAAGAATGAGCCAAAGGCATGGGGAGGAAGGGCATCCCTCCTGCCTCACCAGAGTGGTACATGCTCTGGTTATCTCCTGCTTGGACTACTGCAATGCTCTCTACATGGGGCTACCTTCAAAGGTGACTCGGAAACTACAATTAATCCACAATGCGGCTGCTAGACTGGTGACTGAGAGTGGCCACTGGGATCATATAACACCTGTCCCAAAGGATCTACATTGGCTCCCAGTACGTTTCTGAGTTTAATTCAAAGTGTTGGTGTTGATCTTTAAAGCCTTAAACTGTTTTGGCCCTGGACATCTGAAGGAGCGTCTCCATCCCCATTGTTCAGCCCGGACATTGAGGTCCAGCGACTTCTGGCGGTTCCCTCATTGCAAGAATTGGTGTTACAGGGAACCAGGCAGAGGGCCTTATTGGTAGTCACCCCCCCCCCGGGTGGAACGCCCTCCTGTCAGATGTCAAGGAAAGAAACAATAATATGACTTTTCATAGATATCTGAAGGCAGTCCTCTTTCAGGAAGCTTTTGATGTTTGGTGTTCTGTTGGAAGCTGCCCAGAGTGGCTGGGATACAACCAATAAATTATTATCATTACTCAGCATGAATTCTTTCCCTTTTCCTAGGAAGATGACCCCACACCTGCCCTTCTCTGCACCCGAAGTGCTAAATGCACACACTTGTTTTCTTTCTTAACTTTTTTTGCGCTTCAGGAAGGGTAATGCAGAATTCTGGAATGAGGTCCAGTGGAGAGCTTGGGCCATTGTTTTCTAGCCAATAAATTATACAGAAACTAATTTAACAATAAACCAGTGGCGTAGCGTGGGTTGTCAGCACCCGGGGCAAGGCAAGTAATTTGCGCCCCCTAACCCGTGGATTTGCGCCCCCTAACCTGTGGATTTGCCCTAACCCCAGATGTTGCGCCCGGTGCGGCCGGCCCCCCCTGCACCCCCCACACTATGCCACTGCAATAAACCAAAGGGAAGGGCAGTGTCCTCGTCATCAGCAAGCCTTTGTGGTCATCTTCAGCTCTTTCTGTCGCCTCAGGGGGAAGAGCTGGGAACCTGGACTGTGACATCAGTTGCCAGGAACTAGAAGCCACAAACTCCTCCATACAGTCCTAATATATTGTACATTTTGAACTGTAAGCTGCTTTAGAAGCCAGTTTGGCTGGGAAATGGATAAAAATGTCAGTCATACTTTTTCTGTTATCTGAATATAAAACACACAGATTTTAACACAGACGTAAGTTAACTATACTTACTCCTCTGAATTTTCTGGCAAGTCAGGAAGTCTGTAATAAGAGAGAGGTCAGCCAATTACGTCAGTGTATAGGATACCTTATACTTCCAAAAGGCAATTGTAATTGAGACTATTCTGATTGCTGCAGCTGAATCTGGCCAAATGGCTTTAGGATATACTCGAAGCTTTGTAAATTTCACCCATTGGTCTGGAGAGGTCTGGAGGGTAGCAACGCAAGAACAGGCCTTCTCTGCAGTGGCTTCCCATCTGTGGAATATTCCCCCCAGGGAAGTTCACCTGGTGCCTTCATTATACACTTTTAGGTGCCAGGCAAAAACGTTCCTGTTTAATCAGGCCCTTGGTTGATTTGATTGATATCCTATGCCCCTTTAAATTGTGGGGTGTTTTTTTTTTGGGGGGGGAGAGGGTTATTGGGTTGTTGTTTTTATTTTGATTATGTATTTTGTGGTTTTATATTTTGATTTATTCTGTGAACCACCCTGGCACCTTCGGGTATAGGGGGGTATATAAATTCAATTGATGAAGATGATGATAAAATGTCCTTCATGTTTTGGACATGGATTGTAACATGATGCAAACAGTAGCACTTTGCATTGTTAGGAGTCAAATGAGGAGAACCTCCTTAGATGGATCTACTTTGGGAGACAAATGTTATTTGGAATCCATCAGGTAGTATTTTGTCTGCACTGCGCTGAATTATTCATAGTTGCAAAATATTTACATCAGTGGTTTATTGATTTTGGTAATTATTTTGCTATTAAACAGTGTATTTTGTATTGTGCTGTATTTAGAATCATATAGAATTGTAGAGCTGGATGGGATCCTAAGGGTCATCTAGTCCAACCCCCTGCAAGGCAGGAATCTCAACATGCAGTCTCCCATCCAATTTGAAACCAGACCAGACCCTGCTTAGCTTTGCAAATGTGCTAGCAGTTTTGTTGCTGCACCACTAGCAGGTAACTTCTGTTTGATTATTTTTCTCCACCGCCCTGGGATCCTATGGGCTGAAGGGCACTTTTAAAATCAAATTAATAACAGCAGAAGCAGCAACCAAAAATTATAGGGAGCAAGGCTTTCATGTGTGCAGTAAAATGAGGCGGTCGACTTCTGAGGTGGTAAAAGAGACTGTGCCGTTTCAAACTGCAGGTGGTAGATCACATCTTTTAACCCTCCCCGTACATAAACAACTCACTGGAAGTAGTTCAGTCCTGTTCAGTAAATTTATTGTGCTAGCCAAAGGACCTGACAAAACCATATAACACAGGGAATATAAAATATAAAGCAAAACCTCTATTTGAACAAACAGAACCAGGTGTTGCAAGCAAGACTGTGAATGGGGAGCCTCCGCAACCACATACAACATATTTCAATTTAGAACTCCAAATCTTCCTTACAATTTACTGTTATTTTGTCCAATTCCTTCTTCCTAATCTTTCTCGCCGCTAGTGCAAAAAGGGTGACTTTATGAGCCTCACAGGTGTTAGGAGAGACTGCTTTCTTGAACAAACAGGGGATTTAGAAAGCATCTCCAAGCTCTGTATGATGGGCGATAAAACAAATAACGAAGAATGTCTTTGACCCCTGGTTGCCCACATATACAGAACCTACCTGCATATGGAATCTTTGCAAGTAGAGAGCTAGGGCAACATGGAATGGTCCCAGCTAGACAATCCTTTCTTCCAGATGTGCTAGGTTTTTTACTTGCAAGATGAGCAATTTTATGAAGGGGTGAAGTTCTAAACAAACCACTTTGCTGAATGCGTAGAGCAGGTTTAATCTATCTAGTCTGTTCTTTCCAGCTTTCTGGAGACTGGTTTCCTGACATGACGTGTGTCCAGACATAACCACAAACGTTACAAACACTGCACGGGAAGGAAGTATGTTTTAAAATAAGGAACCACTGCTTCCCTACATCAATACCTAGTAGGGGAGGGGCACAGCTCAGGATCTCAAGTGGACTCATTGTAATATCTGGATTTGAAGACTGAAAAAATATTGGGTCATAAAAAATAGAATAGGTGGATGTTAATGAGTGAATACTCTATTTAGGTGAAGGACAGAAAACCGGAAGTCTTTTTATCTCCTCCCCTCTTTCTTTCCTTTTCCCTTCTTTTCCCTTCTGTTCCTTTTTAGATTAGATTTTTAAAGTATTTATTTTATTCTGGTGTAGTATAAAAGATAATTTGTACTGGGAATGAACCTTTGTATATCTTTGGATTAGTATAAATGCAAATAGATATATTTTTTAAAAGGATCTCATGTGGGCTTTAATAGTTGTTCTTGGAATGTATCCTAATTTTTTCATTATGCTGATAAAGCAACTTTGTTTCTTTCTGAATGAAACAGGCATTCAAACAAATAATTATGTTTATTCCAGTTCTAAAAACGTGCAGCAATCACTTTTTGTGTTTTGGTGCCATCAGGCGGCAAAACTATAGTTCTGCAGTTCTAATCCCACAATGCTCAAGTTTCTGTCAGCCGGCTAAGTTTTCATATGGGCAATGAGAGAACCTTTTCTTCAGTTATTAACTTAACCGCTAGCTCTCTGCAAGGACTGAGACCCTGCATCAAAATCTAAAGGCACAACCACAACAGCTCTCGAGCTCCATGTGCTATTTAAAGACAGTCTGATCTTAGCTGGGAACCACATCTTGAGAGACAACCATGTTAACCTGTTGCTGCAAATATAACAAAGGGTGCTTCTGGACTGCCATTATTTTCAAGTGGAATTCTGTCATCTAACCTCCCCAGAAACAAATCAGAACAAAAGCTTATCAAATAGCCAAAGTTGTCTAACCTTCCTGCAAACCAATAAGAATGGAAGCCAAAGCAGTTCATCTTTAACACACCAGCCTTTATGAACTGACATGGAATCCAGTCCACAAAAGCCCATTTTATAATACAGTTGTCTTTAAAGGGGTCACAATACAATTTGTGGTTTTAATCTTAGGATATATGTGACCTGACTCTTGTGATGAAGATACCTGTCTATCTTAGCGATGCTGACTAAAAACCCATTCAACCAAGCTTAAATGCAAAACCACACAAGGTATATAGGAGTGCCCTTTGCTATGGCACTATTGCCAAAATAATGACATACTTGTTAATGTAGTGATCTGATAACTGCAGAATTTCAGGATGTAGACACCAGTGCCTCATTATTGAATGCTGCAGGTATTTTAAACGTGAGCTTAGTGTATCATAAAAGCTCTCTGTTCACATTGGGCAGTCTCTTTTGACCATAGGATGGAGGGAATGTTTTTTTTATAAAATAAATATTCTTCCAGGTTTAGTCCTCATCAGTTTTTGGCTTTCCAAGAGACACCAGCATTTCTGAATTGGCTTCTGGATTTGAACACGAATATCCAGCCATCAGGAGACAGAGAGAAAGCAGATAGCCTACCTTAGTGGGGCATCTCTGTTACTGCCATAGTACTGGTGTTCCTGATCAAACTTGTAAGGTGGCTCGTAGATTCTGTGGGATTCTGGCAACAGGGGTTCAGATTCTTGTTCTCCTTTCACGATGGGCTTGCGCAGCTGGAATATTTCCCTTAGCTCTTCATATCTGAAATCAGATCAAATGTTCCCAAAGAGCAGCTGCAACAATGATACTCTACCTGAGTGACGCTCGCTTCATAGCTAGAATGGCCACTTACCAGACCAGAGGGCAAAAGAGGACACAGATTTGCATAGAAGTTGCACAGGCTGATTAAGATGCATTGGTTCACATTTGGAAGCAACTGCTGCAGTTTAAATAGAAACATAATGCATCTTGCCATAGCGGGCATGACTGCTGACCAGGCTCTGACTGTTGATAGTCAACTTGAAGGCTCTCTTGCCTTTGCCAGTGTGGTGTAGTGGTTAAGAGCGGTAGACTCATAATCTGGGGGACCGGGTTCGCGTCTCCGCTCCTCCATATGCAGCTGCTGGGTGACCTTGGGCCAGTCACACTTCTCTGAAGTCTCTCAGTCCCACTCACCTCACAGAGTGTTTGTTGTGGGGGAGGAAGGGAAAGGAGAATGTTAGCCGCTTTGAGACTCCTTCAGGTAGTGATAAAGCGGGATGTCAACCTTTTATAAAAAGGATGTCAGACCCCTGACAGTTAAGTCCAGTTGCGAATGACTCTGGGATTGCATCGCTCATCTCGCTTTACTAGCCGAGGGAGGCGACGTCTGCAGACAGTTTTCCCGGGTCATGCGGCCAGCATGACTAAGCCGCTTCTGGCAAAATCAGAGCAGCACATGGAAATGCTGTTTACCTTCCCGCCAGAGCGGTACCTATTTATCTACTTGCACTTTTTTGCGTGCTTTCGAACTGCTAGGTTGGCAGGAGCTGGGACTGAGCAATGGGAGCTCACCCCATCATGGGGATTTGATCGCCGACCTTCCAATCAGCAAGCCCCAGGCTCAGTGGTTTACACCACAGCGCCACCCATGTCCCTATATTTGTGTTTACTCAGAATTAAATCTCATCAAAGTCAATGAGGCTTAATTCCAATACACAGCATTGTGGCCATAATGAGTATATTCATACTACAGTGGTACCTCGGGTTACAAACACCTCGGGTTACAAACACTTTGGGTTACAGACTCCGCTAACCCGGAAGTAGTACCTCGGGTTACCTTTACCTCAGGATGAGAACAGAAATCGTGTGCTGGTGGTGCAGCAGCAGCGGGAGGCCCCATTAGCTACAGTGGTACCTCAGGTTAAGAATGGTTTCAGGTTAGGAACAGGCCTCCAGAACAAATTAAGTTCGTAACCAGAGGTACCTCTGTATAAGACCCAAGTCAGCTATATAAAGATATTGAAAAAAAATTAGAGTGAATAGCTACTCTTACCTTTCTGGTGATATAGGTGGGCCCGGGGGGATATGCAGCGGAGTCAGGTGATTCGCAGATTCCAAGGTTTTTGTTACTAAGGCTGTTCCATCTTGTACATCATTGTAATAGGTCATACCCGTATGCATTTCCATCTTTAATAGCTTCAGAGTAAATTTATACACAGAAAAGTCCATGATCAAACCAAATAGCATTTTGCTTAATTTGAACAGATAAAATTCTGTTTCAATAGGTAACTAGAATTGACTTTGCAACAGCGCCAACTTCATTACTGAAAGAGATCACTTTTCAGATTGCAATGCAAAAATGAGAGAGTCTGGACAAAAATAGATATGACAAAGAATTTCATGATGAACTAGAAACAGTGAAAACTTGGGATTTTGGAAAAGAAGAAGCCAATTTTGTTTTTTCAAAGTGACACAGTATCATATTAAAACTAAGTCCCTTAAAAAAGTTGGAAGGGACTAGAGCAACCTTTTCCAATCTGATGCAGTCCAGATGTTTAGAACTGCCACCCCTGGCCAAGCTGGATGGGGTTGGTGGGAGTTGGAGTTCGGTAACATCTGGAGACAATGGGATGCGGGTGGCACTATGGGTTAAACCACAGAGCCTAGGACTTGCTGATTGGAAGGTCGGCGGTTCAAATCCCCGCAACAGGGTGAGTTGCCGTTGCTCAGTCCCTGCTCCTGCCAACCTAACAGTTCAAAAACATGTCAAAGTGCAAGTAGATAAATAGGTTCTGCTCCAGCAGGAAGGTAAATGGCGTTTCCGTGCGCTGATCTGGTTCACCAGAAGCGGCTTAGTCATGCTGTGGACAAACGCCGGCTCCCTCGGCCTATAGAGCGAGATGAGTGCCGCAACCCCAGAGTCGGCCACGACTGGACCTAATGGTCAGGGGTTCCTTTACCTTTACCTTTAACATCTGGAAACACCATGTTGGGGGAATGCTGGATTAAAGTTATTTGTATGAGGGGAAATTCTCTTTCAGCTTCTGGGTATTGTTCCAAATGGTATGTGGGAAGAATATGAGTCAGTTTCAAAGTTATTATGATCATTTATTAAATTTGTATGCCACCCTCTACCCGCAGGATGGATGAAGATCCATCTTTGGTGCTTCCATTAGTCTCCAGGCCTTTCCCCCAACCCCATGCAGTGTTGAAAGTTAGATAAGAATGGCTAGAAGAGAGGAAACAGATGGAAGCGGACATAAAAGTGGAAGTTTGAGCCTCAAACCTACCTTTCTAGTTTAAGGGCAGTGCAGTATGTTGTTCTAGTTCCCTGCCCTGCCCTGTCAGTGGTATCTGACATCACAATAGAGGAGATTGTCCTGATTGTTTGCTTTCACAGTTTCTGATGGAAAATTAGCTTGTTGAATTTGGCACATTACCTTTCGGTAAAATGGACATGGAAAAGTGAAATATAGTGCTTGATACAGAAACCAAAATACCATGAATGTACTTAAAGGAAGTTTAACTAAACGAAGGAAAAGAAAACCCTCACCTAATTGTGCTTTGAAAAGCAACCTTTTATGCTACTTCTTGAAACAAGGGGGAGATATCTGAGAGTGACGGCCACGTTCTCATTAAACCAGTGCTTAGTTTTGTATTCTCTATGTTTCGACAGAACGAAACACATTCTAATGATCATAGTGACTGGGAACAGGGCAATGTTCTCCACTACAGCTGAAGGCAGCAGGCTTAGGGGGTGCAGGGGAGGCCACATGGCACACCACATATGGCTCTCTCCTCCAACATCTGGTTATCACTCCCCATCCCCTAGCGGTGGAGGTTAGTCCATTCTGGCAAATAGGGCACTGCCCCACCAACCTTAGTCTGCCCTCAGCCAGTCTCCACTCGCCTGCTTTTTTGGTTATGCAACCAGTCAGGGGATGGCTTTGACTCTCATTGGCTCTGGCTCCACCTAGTGTTGGTCCTCCTACTTTCTGCCCTACAAGTCCAACCCCTGACCACTACCTGCCAGCATCTGATTCCTGAGGTGGCCAATGATAGAGATACTTTCCTCTTGGTACTTATGGGGGACAATTACGACAATTTCAATCAAAACCATGGTGGGAGAGGAAAGAGTTGAAGCTCTCCTCCCCATGTACCTGGCCCTGATGAAAATCAGGGCTCCCACACTTAAAAAGCCAAGAACTCGGAGATTATTAGCAGTGATACAGTACAGTATGTTGTTTAGTTTGGCCCTGATTTGTACATGAACGCAACCACAGTACAATCCTGCAGGTGTCTGGACTCACTTTACAACCGCCAGCTCTTCATTGATTCATCTCTGACTTCTTGGCCTAAGTCTAACAAGAGTATTGTGTTCTTGTTCTTTTGAAAAAGAAAGGGCTTAGGCACCAACACACAACTTGTATGAGAAACAAAGAAGGTTTGGGAGCTCCTGCAGCTTCCTGAAATCCATTCCTGTAGGTTTGATTTATTCCAGTCCTTCCCCTGCCTTTCTCCCCAGTTCATGAATAATATATATGCATGGATAATAAATAATCGACAGATAGCCATCCTTGTGTGTGTTACCTGCCTAGAATTTGCTTGCAGCTTCACTTACTAGGCAGTGATTATCTCCTTGGCTCCTATGCTATAAAACCAAATAGAAATTTGCATTGCACAGCATCATGTCATTCCCACCCCCATTTATTTATTTATTTTTACGGATTTCTTCATCCACAGGAATCAGGAAAAAGATTCCAATCCTTTTGTACATTTTCTTCTGCACTTCTTTTATAGAAGCAAGCCCCAAACCTGTTTATTTCTGCATGACTTTTCAGCCACTTTGGTTACAAGGTAGATTTCTTGTCGTGACATTTTTTATTTTGCTGACACTGTTTTCAGCTACATGCAATACTACTATATGCTATTTACAATTGACACCAATGGTACAGAGTAAAAGAGAGATTGAAACCTGCAGCACAGCTATGGAAACAAACTAGTACAACAGCCACCATCACCAGTCTACAAATGCCTCCTGATGGAAATCATGATTTGAAGACTGGTGGCTTTTTTAAAAAAATGCCCCATTTCTTTCTCTTTCGTTGTATCGCCTTTTAGAATGGAAATTCACCCAGAGCCTTCCAAAGTCTTGCCTCTTCATCATCAGATTCCCTTTTCATATTATTGTGTAAATGGCCAAATCTGAAAAGAAAGAATCAACCATGAATGATTCAGTGGCACCAATGATTCAAATGTGGATGGATGTAAAGGAGAGAGCCCTTCACCACCCTCCGGATCATTCTTCAAATTAAATGTGCTTTTCAAGGGTACCATTCAAATGCTTAAAAAAAAAAAATCCTCTCCACCACCCCATTCCAAAAATGTGATTTGAATTGTATGAAATGTCCAATTATTATTTTTGGGTTTTGGTGATGGAGAATGGAGAATTGGATGGTGGAGAACTGATAGAGAATGGTTGAAATATAATGCAGGAGAATTTTTAGGCACAACTCTAGATCTTGACTTTGGAGAGGAAAGATCATTTTTTGTCAAATGCAGAGAGGATGCTTCCAGAGTGGCCTCATTGCTTTAAAAATATCACATCTCTCTCCACCATACTTTCCTTCCTTCAAGTTCAGACGGCAGGTCCGTTAAGATTTTCTCAAGCCACAAAGGACATACTTGGACTTCCAGGGAATATTTTATTCACATTGACCTGGCAAATTCATAACAGTATATTATTACATCAATTCAGATTGGTAATGAGATTGCGATTAGAAGTTGTTTATTGAATGAATAACACATAGAGCAGCTTTCTATGACCTGGTTCCCTTCAGCTGTTTTGGACTTCATCATCGACACACAATCTGCGGCTGGTGGGAAGTGTTGTTCAGATCATGGAAGGCTGCCACAGAGCGTTCAGCACTTGAATAAAACAATGAATTTAAATTTATTTACTTGTTATTGCCTTGGTCAGGGTCTTTGGCCACTTGGGGCAGACTGAAGAGAAGCGACGTCCCAAATCTTTGTGGCAAGTTGGCGGGAGAATGGAAGGAACTTTGAACCGAAGGAGCTCTCTCAGATCTTTGTGACAAAGGAAGGGTGTGCCGAGCAAGGCTTCTGGCAGACGCCCTTCCAAACCGGAGAGGCAGGTTTGCTGCAGGCTTGATGCTTCTCTCTTCCTGAAAGTTTCTGCCAAACCTCAGGGGCAAATTCACAGCTGAGTTGGGCACCTTCTTTGTGGTGGGCGTCCTCATCTTAATGATGTTCTTTAGCCCCCAATCCTCCAGTTCTTCAAGGTTCAGGCTTCTCTGATTTTCTTCTATAATGTCTTCACTAGACTAAAAGGGGAAAAAACAATAACACAACTTCAAGGCGAATAATATACTGGTTACATGCTGATAATTAGGTGTGATTCTGATTAGGCTTTGGCCCTCTCCAAGTCTTGACTCTCTGCCAGTCTCAGATTTTTCTGTGGAGAGTGAGAACACTTCAAGAGTAGTTGGGGGAGGGGGAGTCAAATACAGTGGTACCTTGGTTTACAAACTTAATCCCTTCCGGAAGTCCGTTCTTAAACCAAAACCGTTCTTAAACTGAGGTGCTCTTTCCCTAATGAGGCCTCCCGCCGCCAGTGCCCTTCCACCGTTCAGCTTCCGTTCTTAGACTGAGGTAAAGTTCTCAAACCAAGACACTATTTCTGGTTTTGCGGAGTTTGTAAACCAAATCGTTCTTAAACCGGACTGTTCTTAAATCGAGGTACCACTGTACTCAATTCATTCTGAAGTGGTCTTACCTTCAGATTGGCTGTGCACTTACCCCGGTGTGGGCTAATATCCTTGGCTTTATTACCAAGCCACTTTCCTAGTTTAATCCTTTAAATAAAAAACCAACTGGCTGGAAATGGCCAGATCTTTTGTCACAGACACCAGGAAGGTGAAACCATCCTGCCAAGTAATGTCTGATGGATAATTTCTACCTTGATGACTAACATCAGAGATGGAGCTTATTTTCCAGGAGAGAAAAGCACGAGGTTATGATTTATTGAATAAGTAACAGGCAAATAAATGCAGACTTTCATTTTAATGAGATGTGCTGGAACTCACAAAAAGAAGTATCTCACAAGAACCTGGAGAAATATTAATTTGGGGACAATTGGAAATAACAATAAAGGAAGAGTCATATTAGACTGATTGAGTGTCAGAACTGGAGATGCTGGAGGCCTGCAAAGGGAATTTGAAGTAGTACCATTAGCAGATGGCAGAAAGCTGTATACCACCTACAGCTAGGAGCTATTCTGGAGTGTATCTGCTAAATATTGGAAATAACTGTATTCTATTTAACTGACAGATAGAAGAGAAGAAGTACCTCTTTTTCCTTTTTCTTTTTTCTTACTTAGTTTTTGATAGTATTTTATTAATATTAAATAACATTACTTATAAGCCTGATATGAATGATATGAAGATACATAAAGAGAGAAGATTGGTAGAAGAGATTTGTGTGAGAGGCAGAATAGACTGGTTTTTCTCAGGGTGTGAGACTGAGAAAGGTGGGAGCTGTCCCAGGTGGGAGCTGGGAAGATATGGATCTCTGTTTGTGAACTAAAGTTGAAGATAGAAGGTTGATAAAATATAAAATTGTGTTGTGTGTGTGTGCGGCAGCAGCAGGAAGTCCCATTAGCTAAAGTGGTACCTCAGGTTAAGAACAGTTTCAGGTTAAGAACAGACCTCCAGAACAAATTAAGTTCTTAACCCGAGGTACGATTCTTGGAGGGGCGCAATTTTCTGATTCGCCTCAGGTGCCAAAATGCCTTGGACCGGCCCTGATTGATCCACACATATGCTGTTTCAACATTTTCTCTGTCAACCTCTTTGTGTACCAATAGCAGTGCAAACACAGTTCTTAAAGGATAATATTATGTCAGTAAATTTCTTACCTCAGAATAGTTATCATCACTGTATTCTTCTCTGCTCTGCAAGCTGCTCATCACCGATTCATCACGGCAGAAGGTCTTTGAGGCTAAAAGCAAACATGTAGCTAAAGTAAATAAGATTAATCTGTTCATTTGAAATAATTTTCAGTTCTCCTAGATCGTATTTACAGCAGAGATCCAAATCTGGACAGCAGAAAAAGTGGCATCTTTTTATACTATCAGGCAACCAAAAAAATAATAATCTTACCATGACACCCATTGCAAACATCTTCATTTTAATATGAATTAGAAATGTGATGTTAATTATGTATGGGAAGTATGTAGAGAATTTGTTTTGTGAACTTGTTTAAACAAAAGTGTTTCTGGTCAAGAAATGCAGATGGCATTACCAGATATTTCCCTTGCCTATTAACGAGCTTTAATTAGGGCTACAATAATCTGGAGCAAGACCTTATGCTTAATTACCACGTTTGAAACAAAACCACTCTGTTCTTGCATCAGCCTCGGTCATCGGTGCTTGAAAATGAATGTCAGTGCATGCCATTCTCCCAAGTCTGTGGGAGTTTGTTTCTTCTTAGAGGTGCACCATTGGAAACAGACTGCCTTACTGGGTTGTTGGGAACAGTAGTTCTGTGAGCAGTAAACTTCACTGCCCGGAATTCTTTGAGGATGGAAATGTGTTTTGAATGTGCTTTAAAGGTGTAGTTTGCGATTCTGGATTCCACCCTGGGTATTATTAAACACTTCTATAGCAATTGTATTTGTTACATTTATAGGTAAAGGTAAGGTAAAGATACGTTTACATTTATAGAGCACCTTTATCTTCCAAGGATCTCAAGGTGATGTACAGTGGTACCTCGGGTTACATACACTTCAGGTTACAGACTCCACTAACCCAGAAATAGTGCTTCAGGTTAAGAACTTTGCTTCAGGATGAGAACAGAAATTGTGTTCCGGTGGTGCAGCAGCAGCAGCAGAAGGCCCCATTAGCTAAAGTGGTACTTCAGGTTAAGAACAGTTTCAGGTTAAGAACGGACCTTTGGAACGAATTAAGTACTTAACCCGAGGTACCACTGTACATGGTTCTCCTCCTCTCCATTTCATCCTTGCAACAACCTTGTGAGGTAGGTCAAGGTAAAGGACCCCTGGAAGGTTAAGTCCAGTCAAAAGTGACTATGGGGTTGTGGCGGTCATCTCACTTTTCAGCCGGTGTTTGTCCACAGTCAGCTTTCCGGGTCATGTGGCCAGCATGACTAAACCGCTTCTGGTGCAACAGAACACCATGACAGAAACCAGAGCGTACAGAAACACCGTTTACCTTCCTGCCACAGTGGTACCTATTTATCTACTTGCACTGGTGTGCTTTTGAACTGCTAGGTTGGCAGGAGCTGGGACAGAGCAATGGGAGCCCACCCCATTGCAGGGATTTGAACTGCCGACCTTCTGATCAGCAAGCCCAAGAGGCTCAGTGGTTTAGACCACAGCGCCACCCACATCCCCTCCTGTAAGGTAGGTTAGGCTTAGAGATGGTAAGTGGACCAGGATCACCCAGTGAGCTTCATGGCTGAGTGGGGATTCGATCCCTGCTCTCCCAGGTCCTATCCCAACACTCAGTCCAACTGTTACATATTGGAAACTGTTTTGCAGGATATCGTATCCTCTGTAAGATTACTTGCTAATATATAATTTATTGTCTCTTATTAAATAAGAAGTGTAATGATATCTGAGCTCAAAACCTGACGGATATTAAACAAATTCTTCTTTATTTGACTACTGTGCAACAAGTGGCAATATCTGTTTGATGATGTCAGCTGCATTGAGGGACAACTTTCTTCTCCCATGTAGGTTCCATTGCAATGAATGAGGACCATGCAGGAAACTCAAACGCTGTGATGAACTCTGGGCCTGGAGGAATGCATGCTTTCATATTAAACGGCATGAAAATCTGATCAGTAGTAATGAAAAGAGCAACTTTGTCTTCTAAGCGAATCCGTCAGTGTGCCGTAAATCACTTGATTCCAGCGGAAGAGCAGGTTTTAATATTGTTCGTTGCATTTCATATAATAATATAATGATAAATCCTTATTCATTATTAACAGTGCATTGTGCAAAAAGGATATGCATTACATGACTCATGTCACCAATAAGTATCGAAGGATTTCCATAAAGATGAATAATTCATTGCATATTCATTTTGCCCCAGTATGTAATGACCTATTTTATGGCTCATTTTGAAATAGCATGATTTAAAAATGCATACATTTTTTCATTGAAGAATTGGCCCAGTCATTTTTCATACATTCTATGTATGCAGCCTTCTTACTGAACTGTGTTTGATATTTCTTTGGTCTTAAAAATGCAGCTCTACGTAAAAGTTCAAGCAGATGTTAACAGTTATGCTAGTATCCTGATATGGCTAGGGATGGAGGAATCATTTGCGTGGACTGGCAGAGACCCCCCCCCAACCCCAGGAGACTCTAGGAATTTTGCATCACTTTCACACCTGCATATGTCATCCTATTTCTGCATCAATCTGTGTTTTTTGTTTGCTTAAGATGCATGAAAATTCATATTTAAATATGTACCTAAATCCTATGTTTGAATGTATTTTCTCTCAAAAGACACCTTTATAAATATATTTTATCCTAAAATACACAGTTTTATACACACTGTGGTATGTGGTTTGAGTCAAGAACCGTATCTCAAAGTTTGGAGAAATACAATGGAAACCTGTGATCCGATTTGCATGTATGTGAAAATTCAGAATTTGCAAATTTCAGAATATTTGCAAATTCAGAATTTACAAACAATTTATTGCAGAGAGGCAGGGAGAACCTCCTGCAAGAGTTTGGAAAGCTGTCTGCCATGGAGAATTCACAGTAGTGTGCGGAGGAGTGTCTGGGGTTCCTATGAATTGTCATAGTCTCTCTTTTTTTTATATAAAATATTTATTAAAGATTTTTGACATTTATAATCACCAAACACATATAAACCATCACCATAATACAATAAAAAAGCACATAAAAATAACACATAATAAAAAATAATAATACATGATACAGAGAACATAGAATAGCCAAATCAAGTAGTTCGTAACCATATTTTCTTTGTTTTTGGACTTCCTCACATCTCTCGTTCCTGCGTTCCCAATTTCTAAAATTTTAAAGAGCAAATTATCACCTTGTTTCAGATCTTATTTTGTGTTTTTCCAATATTATGTCTCTAACTTTAAATTTCTTTAACTTAAACTTAAATACTTAATTTAGACATGATATTAATCCAAAGTTTATCTTTTTCTTAAATTTCACTTATTCTCATATTCCCTTGAGCTAGTTTGCTGATGCCCTGTTATTCTCAATCCTGCATCCTTCTTAACACTCATAAAATTTACAATGCTTTTGTAAATAGTCCTTAAATTTCTTCCAATCCTCTTCGGTTGCTTCTTCTCCCAGTCTCGTTGCTGATCGACAGCATGTGAAACTCGGTGGAGTGTGAGGCCAAACAACCAGAAGAGAAGAGTCTCTTGAGATACACTTGGCAGAGTCAGCAGATGAAGCTAAGTCTGTTCTGAGGGTTGGGCAAACAGTTGGGAAATCCAGCGGTCAGGGAATCTGATGATTACAAATCCTAGGGTCCAGATGTAGAGCAAGAAGCAGCAAGGTAGGGCTGGGAACCACAAACATTGTTTCCAACAACTGACTGCTGCTGAGAGCTCTTTTTAAGAAGGCTGAAGCCAGCTGGTTCTCCTCTTCGTCCTTGAAGACTGATCAGCTGCAGGTGGAGTCACACCTCTTTCTTCCTCTTCAGGCTGTTGATCAGCTAAAATAAAGCTTACTCCTGGGCCCATGACATGAATCTGGACTGTGTAGACCAGGGTGGGGATCGTCTGGTCTGTCTTATGGGGGCCACATGCTGGTGAGTGGGTGGGTGAAGAGTCAAAAGTGGACAAAGCAACAAATGCCCAACAAAAGCAGGGTACACTCACACAGCAGGCAAGAAGAAGAAGAAGAAGAAGAGGAGGAGGAGGAGGAGGAGGAGGAGTTTGGATTTGATATCCCACTTTATCACTACCCGAAGGAGTCTCAAAGCGGCTAACATTCTCCTTTCCCTTCCTCCCCCACAACAAACACTCTGTGGGGTGAGTGAGGCTGAGAGACTTCAGAGAAGTGTGACTAGCCCAAAGTCACTCAGCAGCTGCATGTGGAGGAGCGGATACGCGAACCTGGTTCACCAGATTACGAGTCCACCGCTCTTAACCACCACACCATGCTGTCTCTTTCTCACCAAGCAAGAGTCATGATCATAAGACACATTTCATCCAGCCAAAAACTCTCAAGGAGGATAGGAAGCAGGGGCAGTGAGGAGTGTGGCCTTGGGGGAAGGGGTGTGGCATGGGAGTAAATCCTAAGGACCATATAGAGAGGCTTAGAAGGCAGCCTTTGGTGCTCGGGTGTAGACTAGCCCTGGTCAGAGGCACAAAGCAGGCTTTGTCTCTTCTAGACCAAGTTATGGGGTACTGTCAGGGACTGGGCAGAGGAGGAATGGTGGAGACCGCCTCCCTATCCTGACGCTTGCAGGGAGGAGGAAGAGGAAGACAGTGTAGATTTACAACAGGGGTTTGAGGCAGGTTGCAGCTCAGAGGCAGATGAGGGGAGAAGTTGGGAAAGCCAGAGCAACATGTTGTCATTAGAAAGCATTCCAGAGCCTCCATCTTCCAGAACCTGGCAAGCCTTAAAAGTAGGAGATCAAAGAGCTCAAAGACAGAGGGCACATAGCAGCACCCGTAGAAGTGATGAATGAGGAAGTGGGAGATGCTGGGAAGTGGGAGATGCTGGGAAGTGGGAGATGCTGGGAGATTGACTCAGGACAACACCATTATCCAAGAGGCTGGGTTCTATAGCCTCTCCCTGTAAAGTTTGAAGTAAAAAAGGGCTGTAAGAAACTTTCCCTTGTCTTTATACTTTCCTGGGCAACCAGCTGGGAGCCACTGACAGCATCCTGACAGGTACTGGGGCAGCAGGGCAAATTTAGCAAATTGCAAGAGGGGCAGATTTGGGCAGTTTTGGGTCATAGATGGGGTTGACAATGTCTGGGTCATTTCTCCAATGATATTGCAGAAGCAGGGCACTGGCCATCTAAATGGCGCCCTTATTTT